TGATATGATTTATTTTGTATATAGTAGGGCGTAGTATTTGTTGGCCAGTATGCCCTGTATTTAACTCACGTTTTGTAAGGCTTAATATGTTTAGGACCCTATTATAGCGTATACTGTTATAGTACTGTTTATTATTCTGTCTAAAGCCTCTAGTACGTCTTAATCCTCCCTGTTCCGGTGTGGCTTATTTATTATGCCTTTTAGTATACGTGTAGCGTGTAAAGCAGATAAGAGTAAAGTGAAAGAGAAAGTAGTAATGGTAGATCCCCTTATCTATTATAGCCTCCTAGCCTAACCGATTTATGTTTGTTGTGTATAGTGATTATATAAATAAGAGAAAATTAGTGCGTAAAGTGAAAGGAAAGTAAAAGGTCTAAACAACCAAATAAACACATATATTAATCTTAATATAATATGGCAGGTCTATCTAAATAAGCTATATCTACCCGTGTTTAACGTGCAGGGGCAGTGCACTGCTATTTAATATATTAATATTTATAAGTCTAAAATATAACCCTGGTTCTTAGTAGTGGATACGGCCGTCTTAACTGCGTGGCTAGGTGTACTAGTAGTAGGGTTATTACCCTTAAGCGTGTTATAATTATTGTTATTGTCCTTATTGTGTTTATTATTATAGTTATCATGATAAGATAGGGGCTTAAAGCGACGAAGCGGAAATTCCTCTGCTAACAAGAGCATGATAGGTACAATAAGGTTCTTAGTAATATAAGCGAATAGTATGATATTTAGTGGCCTAGTAAGAGCTTGGTATAAGTTATGCTTCTTCTTGGTTACGGGTGTAAAGGACTCCCGTGCAAGTATAAAATCCGCTTTCGCATCACAGAACATAACTGCTTACTTGTACATGATTAGTTAGCCTGGGTATAATTATAGGTTGTGCGGTATCTACCTAAACACGTGGATTAGCTGTGTGTCTTAACTTATATCGCTAAAGTTGATAGCGTGGACGAGTTTATAAATAGCCGATTTTATTTGCCTAAAGATAACGCGGTGTGTTCTAATGTTAAACGCCTCTTAGAAAGGTATACAGCTACTATATACCCCGGTTCTGGCCTAATAGTAAAGGCACTTAAGGTTATACTCCAATACTAGTTTGGTTAGTAAGGTGTGTACTTGTATACCCGCGTTATAAGGGCGAGATATACGTACCGGAGAGAAAACGGAACTTTATAGCAATAGCCTTGTTAAGGTAATCTACTATAATAGTAACCGTGTAGACACATTATAGCTTGAATATTTGTATAGGGAGTTTGTGGCTAAGCTAGATGTTCTGGATAATAAGCTTATTTAGTTCCTGGATAACCGAGAGCTTATTAATCTTAAACTTAAGAAATTTAATCCGGTACTCTAGTAAAAGGGCGATTATTTTGTTAGATATATTGCCCTGCTAAGCTATGTGTATTCAGTGTGTTAGTTATTAGCCTGGGAGCGGAAACAGGACTATTAATAACAAGGTAAGGAAGCCAAGAGGAGGTTCGTATATATACTAGCTAATAGCAGTAAGTAAAGGAAGGGGAGATATACCGGGAGGTTAGTAATAAAATAGGGGAGACAAGTATAATATAAAGAGGTGTAAAGGAGATGAAAATAAAAGAAAGGGAAGGAGGAAATAGTAGACGGTATATATAGAAGAAATCTAAAAGGTACACTAATTTATTATATAACTAGATAAGGCTCTAGATATATAAATAATACTGTTTATAACTTCTTTAAGTGCGTGGCTTTACTTTAGTAAATATAAAGGAATTGTTTTATTTTATAAATAAGGTGGATAGGAACATGGGTTTTACCTGAGTATATCTTTGCTTTATATATGGTAAGGGAGTGCTATTTACCTCCATGGTGTATTTATTCTGCCTGTACTTAATAAATGTGTTAATTTACGTGGGTGTTTATTTTACCTGTAGTAACGTGCGCTTATAGTGTGTTTGGTCTGCCTATACTTAAAGCACGTGTTATTCTGCGCGGGTATTTATCTCACCTATAACAAGGCAGTATATTTAGCCACGTATATGCTTATATTAGCTAAGGTGAAGTAAATGTGGGTGTTTATTAGCGTGTTTATTTGTTCCGACCAGAGTAAACCGGTATTGCCGGCTATATATAGGGTGGTCGCGGGTAGATTGGGGAGGTGGTTATTACGTTGTGGTCTTGCTGTGATTGTGTGTAGTGCGGGATAAGTGGCAAATCGGTGGGAGTTAGTATACTTTATAAGGAGTAGCCTAGGTGAGGGTACGCTTACAAGCGGGTAGCTTACCCGCGGTAACGTTAATAGGGATACTATATTAGGGTACTTAGACTATAAAGTAATTGCTTTATTGTACAAGATAATTAGGTTGGGATATACACCCCTAAGCCCTTATAGGGTGTTTGGTTGCCTATACGTGCCCTGATAGGGGGGGGGGGGGGGGGGGTTAAAGGTAACAATATAGATTAACCCTGCCTGGCATAATTTAGGTAGAGTAAGTAGGCGGTTACTAATAGCTAGGCTATATAGTATATGGTTTAGGTGAAGGGTAAGTTAGGAAAAGAAAACAATAAGTAAGCAGTAAGCGCAGGTATATTATTTATTTGCTTGCTAAGTTTAAAAAGGGGGAAGGGTACTAGTAAAGAGCATAGTGGGATTTAATATAATATTTAACATATAAATACGTCTAAGCACGTCTAGTAACTTACTTAGATAGGTTAATATAAATAATAATATACTCTTTACTTCTATTAAAATTATCTAAGTCTTTACTATAGGTTGAAAATAGCGCCGCTATTATTAAGCTACAGCGTCAGGTCTTAATATAAAATATTAGATAGGCTGTTAGTAAACTTTAGTTATATAACTCCTCTCTGAATTTTATAATGCTTATTCCCGGGAGAAACATAATAGTCTAGTAGATATACTTAGATAAGGTTCGCACCTGGTATAGCCCTGTCCTAATAGTAAGGATAAATACCCTTATCGGTTTACTGTTTTTTACTATAAGAGCGAATCCGGTCCTTATAGTAATACCAAGAATAGATTATTAAGTGGTAATAAGAGGGTAGTAAAGGATATTACTATTATAAAGCGGAAGGTCGTATAGGGCCGCCAAACTCTAAGTTTATAGACTTATTAGCTGTGTCGGATTAACAAGGCTGGGTTAAGTCGCCCGGTCTTTAAGGTATATCCTCTTAGCGGTAATAAATGTGATAAAGGTAATAAGTATAGCGATAGCGATAATAATATTTGGTGTAACAAGGAAGAACTAGA